TATATATATATATATATATATATACACACACACATATATACACACACTCAAGAGACTCAGTAAACATATCAGCCTCTAATAATTTTCAAAATTATTAGAGGCTGATGATATGTTTTCAAAATCAAAGATCCAAAAGAAAAGGTTATCAAGAAAACAAGAAAAAAATGTTCTTGAATTAAGGATGCTTTTATCTCCTCAAGGAAGTCAGTAGTTAAAGCTGTGCTTTAACATTTTTACTTTAGAGCCCTTCTTCAATCACAAAATACATTAGAGTATCCAAGCTGCAAAAAAAAAAAAAAAGACAATGAGGTTAAAACTTTTTTTTAAAATTTTCTTTTTTTTTTTTAAATCACATATCTGAGTGTTTCTCAAATCCACACAACCTTGTAGTGGCTGCTATACTGCAGTAGTAGTACCAGAAAAAGAAAAATAATACACAACTCTGAATGATTCAGTAAACTATACTAAATATGAAATGTTTGCAATCTTTGCCTAAAATATTAAATGTTGACTCACTTCTAAGCATTAATCTGAAATAACTTTTTTCTTTAGGCATTTGAAAATTCTATAAATAAAATAGAAATATTTTTTTTCACGATTTACTCTCATTCTAAAGGAATATACCAAACAAAACATACAATTACAAATATATTGGTTTGTTATCCAAAATGCCTAGGACCAGAAGTGTTTTGGATTTGTTCAGATTTTGAAATATTGCATATACATATTTGAGATACCTTGGGAATGGGACACAAGACCAAACACAAAATCTGTTTATGTTTCATGTATAACTTATAAACATATCCTGGAAGTAATTCTCTGGTATGTTTAGTGTACTTATGTTTTGACTACAATCCATGAAGTAAGGTATATAATTTTCCACTTTTGGTGTCATGGTGGCATTCAAAAAGTATAGATTTGAAGTGTTGAACATTTAATATTTTCAAAATAGGAATATTTAATCTGTACTTATTTTTTCAGAAGGTCTAAAAAGATTTTCTTTCAAGAAAGAAAGATAGGGGCTGGAGTTGTGGCTCAGTGGTAGAACACTTGTCTAGAATGGGCGAGGCTCTGGGTTCAATCCTCAGCACCACATAAAAATAAAGTAAAGGTATTGTGTTCAACTACAACTAAAATAAAATATTTATTTCTAAAATATAAAGAAAGATAATTACAATATCCTAAAAGACAACATCATCATACCAAGTGATTTATTCCTTTCTAATATAAATCCAGTGCTCTCAAAATCCTTTCTTTGCACTTCTTTAGGTTATACCTATTTCTTCTGTCTACCCAAAGCAATTACAACCTTCTTCATCTTTTTCTTGCTCTTCTATTTCATACCTTATTTCACATCTAAAAAGTAATCCTTAAAACCAAATACGCTTAAAACCTAGTTTTTCTTAATTAATACCAAAGAAGTCGTCCACCTTCTTGGATCAAGATGATTATCTACCTGGTTTACATTAACTTAAATGTATGTATTTATATCCTCCTGGAATTTAGGGAATAGCTGTTTAGATTTGGACTTTAAGCTTTCTCTACCATAAAAAATCCTAATAATGTGAATAAAATTTCCAGAATGTTACAGGTTATGTGAAAGATGAAAGGGGAATAGTTTTTCAACCTTTTTCTCCAAAGACATGAAAAGTCTGGCTTCCAAATCAGGTTATTTTGTTCATGACATTTAATAACATAAATAGCAGAAGCATAGCATCATAGCACATAAACACAAGAAAAATGAGAAATCATCTGCAATAGCTTGAACATGGTTCATCACTAATCATCTATCCTGGGGGGATTCTGGTCAAGTTAACGGATCTGGAGACAATGGAAAAGAAATTAACTGGAGTGGTGGACACCATTTGCTTCTCATTCGCTTGCCTCACAGAAAAGAAAAACAGTCCAAAATTCTGAGATGCAGGAAATATAATGATTATTCCAATGTATATGGCATCACCATTATCATGTTTTTATATAGGTACTCAGAGTTGGAATTCATAGTGAAATTGGGCAGAAGTTAGCCTTCATTTAATAAAATATGTATGAAGTAACAACTATATGAAAGATAAGTTTAAGAACGTTGCACTCATGAATTTTACATATTTAGGGAAAACACAATAAGCACATAGAAAAATAAGCATGTATGAAATAGTAACATGATCTAAGGAGATAAGTAAAATAAGCAAATACATTATATATGCAATATGAGTATTAGTGATAGGTGCTATCAAGATCATAATCATCAGCATACAACGAGAGACTCTATAAGACGGCATAAAGAAAATGCCTCTCAAAGGAATTGACAACTGAGACTAAAATAATGAAAGTCTTGCAAGAGGCGGTAAAAAGTCTTTGGACAGTAGAATCCTAACTAGAGTGGGCTAGCTAAAAATTGAAGAAGTAGAGACTCTGATTGTAGACAATTTGGGGAGAATAAAAAATGATACATGAAATGACAGGTGCAGTTATGGAGTCGATATTGAAGTATTAAAGCAGAGGCCAGTACAAGTGTACAGGAAGGACATAGGTAGAGAAAAGAAAATATATAAAAAAAATTTATGCAGAAGCAACCTTGATGTGATGAAGCTGAGATGATGGCAGATCAGCCAGGCAGGTGAGCTACTCTAAATGGAGATAATATAGACAGGTTATAATTATAATAATCCAATGAGAATATTCCTTGATCTTAATCACTCCTGTTCTGACAGGGAAGATTCACATCAGCAAATGCACAACTGATAATAGTGCTGCTGTGGCTGGAGTTTGCAGTGCCTGGCTCCGGTGCACATTGTCCTGAGACACTCCTCAGCATGCTTCCTTAGGGGCTTATTACCTCAAAATTGTTCCATTTGGATTTCAGTGTGGGGATGTAGAATACCCATAGATATTAGTACGTTCTT